TGCTTCTGTGGGAGAGGGCTGGGAAGGAGCAGCAATGCCTGGGGAAGGCCTTGCTGCCCCTGGTAGGCGTGAGGGGGTGTAGTTAGGTCAAAGGCGTCTGGCCCGACATCGACATCCTGCCCCTGGCAGTGGCTCCTGACAGAGGCCCGGGGAAACGTGGGCAGATGGTGAGCGTGGAGTGATGCTGCCTCGAGGGCTTCTTTTCTGAGATCAGTCAAGCCCAGAGCTCCCTTTCTAAAACCTGCCCTGTCCACAGAGTCCTGTGGCGTGGTGTATGGCACAGCTGGTCTGAAAAAAATACCTGTGGGCTTTCAACCTGCCACCTGTTAGGTCTGTTTGAAGTCTAACTCTTGTACTGGAAGAGAGACTATACCAGTCTCCCTTGTCAGTCTTCCTCACTACCACTTGTGAATTTAAAAGCTTTTATCATATCTCCTCTCAGCTGTTTAGCCTTTCCTAATTTGGAAGCCATTCCCCATCTTTATGTCATCACCGTTCTCCAAACCTTTCTAAGCTATATTATAGATTCTTTGAGATACAGGAGCGTACCTATAGTGCTCAGGTTGCAGGTTGTGTGGATATTCTTTAAACCTCCAGTTATGTATTTTTAATTTAGTTTCCAAACTGCTTACAATGATTTTATCCTTTTGACTGCTCTTTTTAACAGAGGAACTATTTTTTATTTGTGTGTTGTTCCTTTTCCTGAACTAAGTGTAGTGATACTAGATTTCTTGCATTCGCTACTTGAATGCATGTGTTGAATCCACATATGTTGCACTTGCTGCAACAGAGCAGCTCTTCAGTGGCAACATTTTGTACTAGTCAGACCCTATGAACTAGTCAGGGTCAAAGACTCAACTTTTCCTGTTCTGTGTTCCTTGACTAAATACTTCATAAAGTGTTCATTAGCAACGTTCAAAAAGCATATGGCATCATGCTTGTGCGTGACATCTACCAAGACTACCCTGGGATTGCTGAAGTCCCCTATTAGTATTGCATTCCTGGTTTCTCTCTGGGCCCTTGTTTTACTGCAGACATTGTAATATACTTGACATCCTGTTCAGAAGGATGGTAGTTTCTAACATATTGTACCTTTCCTATTAAGGCATAACATTTCAAACCACAGAGAGTCTGCATTACTTGTTGATACAGCTATGTTGTTAATTTGTACTATGGGACTAACACTTCCCTTTTATAGCATGTTCATGCTTTTTCTTTGCAGTTCATGCAGTCTGTCCAGTTTGCAGTCATTTATGACAAAGAATTTTTCTTTTTGACCCCTTATGAGCACACATTACCTGGTATTACTCAGTCACATTTTAAAATTGAGATAAAAACTGTCATGCTGTCAGATCAGTTGTTGGGCTTCCATGAAGAAATAGCTGCGAGATCACCGTTATCATAAAATACCTATTTCATATCTTTAAAAAATACCTTCATAATCTTAATACCAGAGCAATTCTAGGGCTAAATAATATATATTTCTATAAGTTTTCAAAGTCTGCTTAATTGCATTCAGGATTCCAAGTATGTTAAAAATTCACGAGTGTGTTTTTTTAGTGCTAGTTTATACTTATGAAGAAAATACTTTCTGAATGTGAACCATATGTTCTTTCTTTGCCTGTAATATAGGCATCCTAGAACAAGAGCTCAGAGGCATGATATGTCACATTGTCTGAAAATGTTAAAACCAAGCTTTAGTCATTTTGGTTGTAATATAAACTATTTTAGTACTATTAGGTTTAGTAGAAATACCAAAGTAAATTCTTCTCAGGCATTTTGCTATACGCTAAAAATAAGTTCATTGATTCCATTACAGCTTATTTCTTTCAAAGGCTGCGAAAGTTTTGAGTAAGGTGCTCAACCTCCCACCCATGAAACTGAAAATTGCCTTTGTCTGAGCTTGAAAATTAAGTCTAAAAAAGATAACAGTCTTCTAGCATGAAACTTCAACTGAATCTGGAATATCAAAAAAGATATTCTTGAGATCTTTTGTGTGATAGAAGTCACAAGCAGCCTCTCATTCAAACAGAATGTTTACTCAACATTCTGGTGCATGTTCTTTAAGTATATCTAATAAAATGAAAACTTAGCGTTCAAATTTCCTTATTATGGGTGGAGTAAACCTCACTGACAGTGCAGACTTCTCACTTTCCTTCCATTCAAGTTAGTTTAAATAAGCTATTAAATTCTTAGGAATTCTCACTTCAGACTGAAGTGTGTATGTTTCAGGAGGTGTATATAATCTTCCAAAATACAGGCTATATGGAGGTGGGCAGATACAGTTTTGGGAAGATAGCTGCATCAAGCAAAGGGAAATAAAAATTGTATCAGGACTGAGCTACAGTAGGAACTTTGTAGCTGTTAAAGCAACTTCTGGAAACTTCCTCTGCCTTTTAACCATGTAATCTTTCATGAAAGAGCTTGAAGCTTTCGCAGTAAGGATCAGTAGAGCTTCTTTTGCATTAATTCTTCACTGGTTCTTCACTATGAAACAGACTTATGGAAAAACTTACACTGCTTCGTTAATTTTTTAAGTCTGTGAGAAGAATAACATTCCAGCCCACGTGTCGACACTTAAAGAATTTGGATCCTAAAAAGGTAAGCTTGAGAAAAATGAAATCTAACAGGGAAAAATTAGAAGATAATCTCTAGAAAAGGTTGCAATAACATAATGTAATAAATGAAAGTTTCAAAGACAGGACTTCAGAAGAGTCAGAGGTGATTAAATTTTGTGCAGAACCCTCATGAGTGAATTCCAGGACTAAACTACAAGTGTTCCTCTAGGACAATTAGAGGAACTTTAATGGGACAGGGTTGAGAGGTGGTAACACACTTCCATCATGTTTTAAACACTCATACTGTACCTTTGGAAGGTGTGACTGGGAAGTATGTGACAGTAATGAAACCAGTAACCTCATTCTGATATGATTATTCTACACTGCAAATGCTAAACATGTTGATTAACCTATGCCAAAATGTAGTTAGCAACAGTATTACACTTATATCCTGAGCAACATTTGGAATTTTGAGTACAGCAACATTGCATTCTCCATCCAGGAGAATCAGAAAGGCCAGTGCAGCTTAGTTTGTGGTATATCTTATGTTACATTTACAAAATTAGAGATTGTGATAAATATTGCTAAGACAGCGTGTTGCTCATTTCAGTTCTTTACCAGCAGATTTTAAACACTAAAGGAAGATGGCTTTCTTCCCTAAAATATCCTTTCAACATGAAGTTGAAGAACATCTCAGCAAAGTATTCAGAAATAGTGAGGTATGTGAAAGGTACTACTATTAACCATCAGCAACCACATAGTCACAAATTGAACCTGTTTACTTTCTTTTTATTTAATATTATGGCATTAATATCTCACAATAAAATAATATGCATTTAATAATAATATGCATTCAGATTCAAAGTCCACATGGGACTCAGATTTTTAAAGATACTGATGTTTAAAATATTTATTCTGTAAGCCTGTTGGCTCAAAGTACTACAAAAATGTTTAAACTAAACTTAGCATAAATCTAAGGCTTCAGTTTTGCATGCCGCTGAAGAAGGATCACGCAGAGAATTAATCACATATTAACCACATAATATTCACAAGAAATACTACCTTACTCCAGTGTAAAGCCACAAATATGGTAGCCAATCTGTGAGTTCCTAATGTAAAAACACAGGAAAAAGGAAGTTGTTTTTTTTTGAGGAAAAGAGTTCCAAATTTATATTTCTAAATCTAGTCTTCCAGATCCTTAGGCCTGTGCTTTGTACAGGACATCAGAGCTCATGAATGGTTAACTTTGGTTCTTGCTTCAGCCTGTTTAGAGTGATCTTGCTAATATGACTAGTGTTTCAGTTAGTCCTTTTCAAGGAATTTATGAGGTTATCATCACTGGAGTTAGGCCTCTAAAGCATAGACATTCCCCACTTTTTATGTCATGCAACCGTATTCCCTCATTTCTACATAATGTTTGTTCTGTACTTTTTCACCTAGAAAAATAGGCTTCTATATGAAGCTCCTTAATGTTTCTTTTAAAATCTCTTCTCTCCTTCTCAGCTTATAACTGATTTAGGTACACAGGAGGCAGAGAGCAGATATCAATCTCTGTTACGTCATCTGTCTCATCCACCCGCTTTCACAACTGTTAGAGTTAATACGCACTTGGCCTCAGTGAAACATGTGAAAAATTTACTATTTGAAGAGATCCAGAAGGTTTGTGCCATTTCTTTGTTACAGCAAAATAACAAAATTTTTCATCTTTTGCCTAATTATGAGAGCTTTTCATTGCTAGATATTATTCTTTAACTTAATATATTTCCACTAGTATTCACATGATGCAGTCATATTGATTTCCTGGGAACGTTAAATGTTAAATCAAAATTCATTGTCTAGCAGTAATTGGCATCTAATACATCAAAGAAAGGCAACAACAGAAGGAAAAGACAACCACATCTTTTGCAAAGCTCTAGAAAGCTAAAATAAATCATAATATATAAAATGCAAATAACTGAGTCAACTAGATCTTTTGGCATGTAGTTTTTAATTCAAAATTTAAAAGATATTAATTGGGGCCATCAATATGCTTATATTATTTTTGTTTGTGTTATGGTGGCAGACAGAGACCTTAGTTAGGATTGGAATACTACCGTAGTAAATATTGTACAGACATCATAAGCCTAGAGAGGACAGTAGAAATAGATAGAAACTTAGAATAGAAATTTAGAATATATTTTATTAAAGATTAAAGGAGAATGGGTTTATATTTCATTGCACAAACTATTTAGGAGATTGAGAGAATCTGTATGTTCAAGGAACTGGAGCGAAAGTGGTACCCTGCAGCTGCTGTAATTTGAATACATATTTTTAATCTTTTAGATCTTTTTTTTAATTGTTATTTATCTTAATTAAACATTTCTTTATCTGGTAATATGAAAGCCATAATGTTTAAGAAGTAGATTATTTTGAAACTTTATCCTAGATTTTCACTCTGAAAAGATCCCATTCTTCTGTAAGTAAATTATTAATGCTAGTGGGTGTACAGGGAGTTATTGCATGACAGGAGCCAAGACATTTCTGTGATGCAGAGGCAGTTGACAGTATTCTGTTGGCTGGGACGAGTTAGGCTAATTTTAACTTGGTTGTGGAAATGTAGAAATAGATATTGCAATGCGATATTTTGCTTCAAAAGAAAATGCTTTGCTAAAAACTGAATTAAGACAGGTTTTCCTAAACTTTTTGCATTCTTAATTGTCGTTATATTTGAAAAACTACATAGCAGTTTTACGCATTTTTAACAACATTATGTATACAGATTTTTTTTTTTAGGAAAATCTTTATTTATCAGATGTGAGCTAATTTCTTGTTTTCCGTGTTTTGGGGTTATATTTTAAAAGGCTCCAACAAGGGGATATCTGCTTTGGAAAGTCCAGGAACAGTTTTAAAATGGCAAGTTGTCAATTTTTTCAACTATCACACAACTCAACTCTCAGCATCCAATCAAAGTTAAGTTGAAAAGAGAAATAAAAAATGTTACCAAGCTGGCATATGAAGTAAAGCAGGCAATACATGAATACAGTTACCCAGTGATTTATAATTAATAACATCAAATGATAGCACAGATAGACACTAGTTTCTCTGATGGTGTTAGTGTGACCTGGTGATAACTTGACACAACCTTCTTTCAGAAGAAAGGAAAAGCAAGTGGTAAGGATATGACTGTTCAGGACTTGGTCCCACTCCCTGTGGTAAATTCTGTCAGTGAACTCCTCTGGGGCCTTGGTATTTCATACTTTATTAAATATTTAGTGTTTTATACCAGTGTTTACAATACAGACTGTCTCCTGACACACCATTTCCCAACCTCTCTCAGCTTTTGTCAATATAGTTTTTGTACCCTGTACAGCTATGAATTATGAATGGAAAATATTTTTCAATATAATTAAGTACTTATGTTAGCATTTGTTAATACAGTTTAATAATTATAAATTTTTTTAATTTAACAGCAATTTAAAGGACTGTGTATTCCAGTTCTTGAGCACCCAGAAATTCAGGACATCTTATTAATTCCCGTCATTGGACCCAGGTTTGAAATTTTTCAGATTTTAACCTTAAAATGCTGCAACACATGATTTACTTACATATTTCATGTTAAACAGTTGTAACTAACTCACTATAAGTAAAGTACAGTTGTTTATTAAGACCTAATGGGCAGTCTATATCTTACCTAGGTCACATTTTTGGTGCTTAAAAGATGCAACAAAACATAGAGGGAATTCTTTTCTCATTTAGAGAATCACAGAATCACAGAATGGTTTACGTTGGAAGGGACCTCTGGAGATCATCTAGTCCAACCTCCCTGCTCAAGCAGGGTCCTCTAGAGCATATTGCCCAGGATCACATCCAGACGGGTTTTGAATATCTCCAGGGAAGGAGACTCCACTACCTCTCTGGGCAACCTGTTCCAATGCTCTGTCACCCTCACAGTCAAGAAGTTTTTCCTCAGGTTTAGGTGGAACTTCCTGTGCTTC